TTCATCTTTGACAAAATTACAGGGTCACCCGGTATTTATTTTATTTTTTAAATCATTTTAATTATTTCTTTTATAAAATTGTAGCTCATTATTAAACAAAAACCTTGCAAATAAATAGAAACTTGAAAGAATGAAAAAAATCAACAAAGTTTCATCAAATTTTCACAGTTTTTGTTCAGAATTTGTAGACATGTTTTGGGTTAACAGTTTTGTAGCCCATTCATTCTAGTATAATAAAGTGCAAGTTCGAAGTGTCTAGAAAATACCACTGATTTTTTGAATTTTTCTGTTTGCGGTGTTGCGCACTTTCTTCCATATAACGAACGTTCGCATTTTATGTTATAATGAATGCGCGTGTAGCGTTGTTGTTTTTTAATCCAATATTTTAAATTAAGCTTTATTTTATAGTTTTTCTTAGACAATGATAAATGATGTACATAAATTTCAGTATGGAAAAAAGTGCAACCCCTTCAACGAAAAAAGTTCTCAAAAATCTACGCGAATTGAATGTACTATCTCGATCATTTAAACATCTCGGACTCGCCCACCACTAAAAATGGTTATTGAAATCTAAAGTATATATTAAATGATATTTAATATTTGCTTTAGAGATGAAATTTCGATAAATTTGTTTAAACAAAAATGTTAAGCCCATATGCAGAATGTGGAATCGAGATTCTTCTGCTTGCGTTTCTATGTATATATCATTTATCAGTTTAAGCACATATGATTAAATGTAAAAAAAATATTTTTAATTGCGGATCCGAAAGAAATATTTATTAGTTGCATTGAGTTACGCAAAAATAGTGCCGAAAATCAATCGATTGTGCTGAAGGTGCCGGCTACTGCCGAAAGGACCGAAAATGGCACAATGCACACTCATTTTCCATCACTGTCACACATACAATCTCACTATTCTGTTGACTTCGTTTTCCCCTTCCGATAACTTTTTGCTTCCGCGCTTGCCCAGCACCGCTGTGCAAAGCTTTGCACGCGCAGTCGCCCGCGACACATATGTGCTGATTTCGGCATCCCTAAGCTAGGGGATCATGCGGTATGGCGGTGATTTCAGGATAACCTTTACCATCGCCTGAGGCATTAGCTTCAGCGCCACTACTAGCACCAAATTTACCACCTTCGACGGCTACCGGTTCCGTCAATGGAATTTCGACATTCTTCTGGCAATTGTGAATGCAAGCTGCCTACTATTTGGCATTTAGCATGTTTGGAGCACATCGTAAATAATGCCACACCAGTATAAAGCATTTACAACATTCCTATTAAACAGAATTTCATTTAAGTATGCCTTTTGTATACAATAATAATAATGTTGCAACAAGGCAGACTCACTTTCTGAAATTCGATCCTGCTTATCGGCATAATTTTCCAAATGTGCTTGCGCTGTTACTTCCACATTAATAGCTTCATTTTCCTCAGCATATTCTGAAAATAAATAAATTTACATTAAACAATAGAAATAGCAAAAACTGTTGTCAAATCTCTGAGAAATGTAAATTCCCCGTGATGCAATACAGCAAGTACAAGGACCAGTGATGCATTCCTAAGTAAAACTATGGTTCGGCGGCAATGCTCAGAGCGCTCCAAGCAGCAATATTAATCTGTATCAAATATAACATTAGACGATGGTTCTAATACATTTTATATAATTATTAGTAAATAGAGTATATTGCATTTTTTTCAAAAATTAATGCACTTTATGCATTTTTTTTTTATAATTTCTTAAGTTTTTTTCATTATAGCTGAAAAGCAACCATGCATGTAAGAAATTGTTTGCTGCCTAAAATTTCACCTCTGGAAACTTTATCTCCATATAGGACTTCACCACAGTTGTTTTACTGGATATACTGAGGTATATACTGTGTCCAAGTAGGAATGTTCGATATCGTTATTATTATTATTCTGAATATCGATATTTCATGGTGCGATAATCGACTTTTTGAATCGATATTCCCAGGTTGATATATCGAAGACATCGATACTTTACCCGCAATATCGATATTTAATTTGAATTTCACTTCGATTTTGGCGCGCCTCNATATCGTTATTATTATTATTCTGAATATCGATATTTCATGGTGCGATAATCGACTTTTTGAATCGATATTCCCAGGTTGATATATCGAAGACATCGATACTTTACCCGCAATATCGATATTTAATTTGAATTTCACTTCGATTTTGGCGCGCCTCGTGTTTAGACGCTACTGGCTACTGACGAAAAACTTAATTAGACAAATTAAAGAAAAAAGCAAAGCAAAATAATTTTCATCTTCCTTGATAATACACCATAATATACACATCAGTATATTAATAGATCCTCCTTAATTCGGATACAACTATTGAGTTGCAGGAGCCTACCTCCCGATGGAGGCTAGGTCTAATGCCTGAGGGAAAAGCTCAAACTCAGAGTATTAGAAAATTCTAAGAATGCGAAGCGGCGATGTGCTGAATTTATGAAAAAGAAAACTGTCACTTCGATGGAAGTAACAGGGGGATTGTGCGAATCTGAAGAGATGTCGCACGAGGTTTCATCTGTGGCTCCTTCGAGTAATATAAAGCATCCAATGCTAAAGCAAGCTGAAAAGCAGACCTTTTATATGACCCAAATGACCAGGTAAAGTTCATCGTATTTCTAGAAATAGTGCCCCACGAGAAGGGGTTAAGAAGGAGGGTCTTATCTAACCTCTTCTTTATTGAGCTTATAGATGATTTGTGCCTAGATGGGCGAGCCAAACTAACCTTTGATCATGCAAGTGATGCAAACGAGTTTGTAACCGGACATGACTTTAAAAGTAGGAATTTTCTGGCGTATATACCCAGATCATTCACAGATAAATATGGTATAATCAGAAACGTTCCTCTAAAATATCCAGATGCCTTTATAATTGAAAACATTGAGAGTGAAATCCCTATTATATCGGTGAACAGACTAAACAGAAGAGATGGAGATGAGGTTATACCAACAACATCCATCAAGATTGCGTTCAAAGGTAATAAAATCCCAAGAGAGGTAAAGTTATGTAGGTCGACTATTTCGTTCCCGCAGTCAAGCAATGCAAAAAGTGTGGTAGGTTGCGACATATACATAGCAGCCGTTTGTAAGGCCAAGGAGGCCAGGTGCTTACAGTGTGGTATAATTCCACGCTGTGACCCTGCGTGTGGCCAGATGAAATGCTAGCTGTGTGGCGCAGGAGATCACACTTCAGAATTAAAGTCATGTCCGACCCGAATCGATCGTCAAGATATACAAAAACAACATTCTAACCAAAACTATATACAATAAACTTGTTAAGGGCGCGCTTATAGGGCAGCAACAAAAAATACCCAAGGAAAGATTGGTTAATACAAACCCTGAACAGCTAGGAGTATGCCTAGTGAACCCACGCAGAGTTACAGAGCTTGAAAGAATAATAAACGAACTTTTTAAAATGTGAGCTCATCTATGTGAGTATGTAAAGGAACCAGAGAGCATTGAAATGTTCAACAATTTGAAAACTAAGTATAATCTTCTACATAGCAGCGATAACGTGGCCGATGCTGGTAACAATTTAAATGAAGTTTCTGCAATGTAATATTCAAAGTTATAGAGCTAACAAAAATGATCTCGAATATTTAATAAATAATAATAACATAGATTTTGAAATATTGTCTGAAATTTTCTCATTCAATGAAAATTATTTCGATTTAAGGTTACTCAACTACAATCTTGTAAACAAATTTCGTCAAAGTAGGTTTGGTGGCGTGGCCATAGCCATTAAAAAGAACATCCGCTTCAAGAGAGTACGACTTGAAACTAACTATGAAATACTAGCAATTCGTACAACTAACATCAATATAAATATTATTTCTATCTATTTTCACCCCAATATGCCTCGATCAAATTTTATGAATGCGTGCAATGTAATTTTCAATTTTGCAAGTAAAAATAACAATACAATTATAGGTGGAGACTTCAATGCACGATGCTCGACTTTTGGCGATACCGTATCTCTACCGAAAGGTATATTGCTTAATGGTATTGTTACGATTATCCTTGAAACCTCGTCCGGATTTCCCAAATCCCTCGGTTCGTATCGCTGAATTGTTAAATAAATGCTAACGATGACCAAATTGTAGTACAATTAACTATATTGTACAACAAAGAATTTACAATACTCGCTAATACAGTATAAACACTTTACAATACTTGTTAAAGCAATAAAAACGTTAAACTTATAGCTTACTTATTCGCAACTCACTTCTCTGCTGACTTTACTTATATCTTGCTGACTTGTAACTGTCCAACTCCGCTGTGTCGTGGCTCTTATATA